TTTCTTGAGGTTAATGGGATCCCGAGGTCATGTAGGGTTTGCGACCCTTCTATTTCCCAGATGATCCGGCGTGAGCCTTGTCAGGCCGGTGAGGGCGTGTACATGGGGAAGTCCACCGACTCACCCCATTTTTATATGTATCATTGCTTTTTTAGGGATTTAGGTGTCTGTCTTTCCTTCACTCAGTTTGAGTGTGATTTCTTAAACTTCGTCAACTCGGCTCCTTGCCAGTTGCACCCCAATAGTTGGGGTTTTTTTAGGGCTTTCCAAGTCCTGTGTTCGATTTTGGGGATAGAGGTGTCCCTTCCCGTCTTTCTTTATTTTTATCAGCTGAAGATAGGCATTCCGCCATACGACATATTGTCTCTGAGTGGGAGTAGGGATGGAGGTTTGTTCACTCTCTACTCCCAGTCATATAAAAACTTCAAGCAAGAGTTTTTCCGAGTTGCTCTTGTGAATGTCGACCCATTGGAGGATGGGGCGTTTTATTTCGGCGGGTTGCCGAAGTTTCCCTTCTATTGGTGCCCCAAACCGTCTAGGTTTCATGGGGTGGGCCAATTGAAGTTGACGGATTCGGAGACGGCCGCCGTCGAGAACCTCGCAACGCTTCCTCGTCCGCTGGATTGCAAGCTCGTTCTGTCGCTTGCGAACTTAGCATACAGGGAGAGGGGCCTGGAGAGTGAGTATTTTGTCTTATTTAGTTTGCTAGGGTTAGCGGAATCTTCTCTTGCTGATGTGTTTTGCTTTTTTGTATTTGCATGTATAATGGGCAAGAGCAAGTGGAAGGAGCTGAAGCATCGGTATAACCTTGCCGAGCTTGAGGTCCCCGAGCCTCAAGAGGAGGAGATGTCCCCCCTGAAGGTTAATCGAAAAAGAAAGAGGGGCGAGAAAGAGGGTGGGGGGACCTCTGCCCCTCGTGGCACGGAGGAGGTGACTTCCAAGGCTGCGAATGCTGACGCAGTCGATCTCACTGGGAGTCCTCCGCTTGGGGAGGTTCCCCGAGTGGCTGTAGCGGGGACTGCTGAGCAAGTTGTTCCCTCTGCCGAGGTAGGTGTTTTGTTTCCTTTAACATTTTTTTTTTGTTTCGATTGTGCTCGGCTTATCGAGGTGATGTACTTCTTTCAGGCAGGAGTAGCCGTTGAGGTGGGGGCTCAGGCTACTGAGCAAGGCACCCCAGCTGTCGAGGTATGTTGTGTTTCCTAAGGCCTTCTTTTTATGCTTTGGTTTTCTGCCTGGCTTTTGCTTTAAAGGAATGTTTTTGTTGTTCTTTTTGCAGGCGAGTAGGGCCGCCGAGATCTTGGAGACTCTGAGCTTGAAGTTGCCGGGGGTCGGCGCTTCTGGTGTGGAGTAGGGAGCATCTGCCCCTACTTCTGCCGAGGCTCGCGGGAAAGGGCCATGCACTAAAGTTCCGAGGCCCACCCCGGTGTCGTCAGCGCCATCGACTGGCCAGTCGAGGGGGCCTCCCAGGACCCAGTACCTCGCCCAGCACTTCCAGAAAGGAAACGCGGTGGTGAGGTTGGATCATTTGAGCGCCTCAGAGGACATTGACTCGTGGTGGAGCGCTGGGGTGTCTGCGTCGAAATTTTTTCTCGAAGGGTCCTTGAGTGAGGCTGATCAAGCTATGATCGAGTC